GCTGTGCGGAAATCTTATAACAAACTGGAACCTGACAGTGGCAAAGTCAAAAACAATTCTCCACAGTTCAACGTAAGCTTACATGCACGTTTTATTCGTTTGTTTATTCTTATGCCTCTGTTAAGGCCATCTTCACCAACGCATAATCTCTTATGCTATGCATATGCACCTCTATTGAGGACCATGCTATGTTTATGCTGGAATCGCTAAAACTGCACTTGCATGTCCATTTCTGTTCATGTTTTTCTGGAGACATTGCATATTATATATCTAAATCGGTTCCGATTTTCGCTTCGAGGTCAATTATTTAAATATTAAATTTAGTTTGTTATTTGAAAATTAGGTGTTTAGTCAATTGAATTCCCATGTAAGTACACTGAAAACAGGGAAAGGCTAAGTTATTTTAGAGTAAAACATCTTACATCGAATTGATAACCTTATATGTACACCCAAAAAATAGCAAACATCTTCGATCACGTTCAAGATCACAGTAGATTAGGCCTCGAAAATAAATTCTTGGAAAACAAATCGGCCAAATTTTTTTGCGTTCGACAAGTTTACTTTACAAATTCTTGCCAACAAATCTGGGGGTGTTTAAACCAACCTTTTATAATTTTTAAACATCACATTTGAGGTGAAACAGTACTATTTATCATACAGACCTCGGACAGAATGCGGTATTTCACAATTTTTCAAGACAAATTGCACTCAGTCAATATTCAGGACGATCAATCGTGGGCTTTAGCGAAACCGTTCAAAAATTTCCAAAATCACCCATACGGCCAGCTGGTTCTCGTTTCTATAGTGCGAGCTGTCAGTGTGGTCGAGTGTTTGAATGAGCTTTAATAGAGTTACGCTTCAACATAATAGCGGATTTATTATATTTTTTTTTGTTATTTAATGGTTTCAGTTGCAACGATGTGTAATCTTATAAAGCGTTTGATACGCGCGACATCTTTGAGTACTCCTGCAAGCGATGTTCATGAACGATGAAAACAAACGGCACGGACAAGCGATTAAAATTGCAAGAGAGACTACTAACAATCAAAAAAAGAAATATAATTCGGTGAAACATTTACATAGACAATAATTTTCATTCACGAAGACAAGTATTAAAGTGTCTCTAAAAATCCTGAGTCTTTAAGCGTAAAGCTTAAGCCTGCTTCCCGGCGCGGTGTTTACTTTTTTCAAAGGTGAACTCCTCGAAGCAAGAAAATCGCTCAACGTTTTCTTTCTACAGCCAAATTTATAACTAAATATTCTTCGGAACGTTTTCTTTCTATTTGTGGTGAGCAAATATATCTGAAGGCTTTTTAAAGTTCTGTAAGCTTATGTCAAACCTGATACTAGGTCAGATCATTGACTCAAATCCTATAAACGTGCATAAACATGCCGCATAAACTGTCAGCGTGAACTGTGCAAGACTTCATGAAATTAGATATAACAAAAACAAAAATTAAAATACAATAATTACTTAGGCTTACCATTCGAGATTCAGTTCCTGAAAGCTATCAAGGAAAGCCATAGTTGCTTGAGACTTTTAAACCCTCTTACGCATTTAAAGCAAGGTGAAAAACGAAAGCGATGCCATCCGAAATCGAATTACCGAATTTTGACAAGCGACGCATTTCTCAACCAAAAACCCAGTAAACAAACCAGCCATGAATAACAGAAGACTCTTGATAGCAACTGTATGTCATTTTGTACATCCAGAGGAAAAAGACAGTTAAAAACATCACAAGTTGACACAAAAGTCTGTCAGCTTCAGCTGTCAAAGTAAACGACTTTCAAGATGCTGCTTTTCAGCATGAATTCACCTGTCAAATTTTGACCAATCAGAGTATAAAAATTGGACGTAGAACGTGACCAACGAGTGACCATGGCAAGATAAGGTCTTCTCTGCCTGTACTTTTAAAAAAACTGGCTGAAATTTCGCTTCCGAGGTCAGTTTGAAATCAAAATCCTAATAGTGCGGGACTGTAGTGACATAAACACAACATATTTCATATGAATCCTTGGAAAAAATAAACTTGAACCTGCGATCATTTAAAACTGGTAATTTGTCAGCGGATAACTTCAAAAAATACTCGACCTCAATGGGTCGACACTTGAGCCCGCGGTACAGTCAGGTGATACTGGTCAGCGGATGCCCTGTTTTGTTAGCTGTCAATTGATCACAACATTGATGTGCAATTAGTTGTCTCTCGGGCTCCCAAACTAGCTAAAATGTGAGAGTAAACATTGGTTTTCCTGTGGTGCGGACGGACGGTCGGCGGTCGGCGGTCGGTGTACGGTCACGTTATTACCAAATTTTCTGGGATGGGTAGATTTACTTAGCTATGGGGCTCTGCCCACGCGTGCGCTTCGCACGCGCGTGGAGCTCCGCTATCATATGAATTTACATTCACTTCATTTACTGTGTATTGTCTAAGTCTGCTTGATTACACTGTACTTCTTTAAGAGAGAGCATCACACTCAATAAAGCCTGATTAAATCAGTTTTATTAAGGTTTTGTTTGACTGTTTAAACAGGGGTCCTTTTTGCATGAGGATGCGCGACCGCTGTACAAGCAATGTGCATGGGGGCTCACCACAGGGTCTGCCCTCATCAATATGGCTTGTCTCAAAGCTATCATCGCGATTATTTTCCTCTTTGGTCTTTGCGAATGTGCTCGTGATTAAAAAAAAATGTGTAGTTAAAAAAAAAAAACTCCAACATGGTCTTAACAAAAGCGAAGAAGACCGGCTTTAACATACTACGAGCTACTATCAAATTTCATCTCCCGACTTGACCTGGATAACAGCGTACGTATATGTATTGCTTCTAGGATTGCGCTGACCTCATTTAAGTCTAAACAAACTGCCGAAAGTAAACACTTTCACTTTTATTTGTTTTAAAATGGGGAAAGGAACATAAATATTAAAAAAAAAAACATAGCAAATTTCAGCGAGTGGTTTTGAAGTGCACAAAAGCTGGTGTTCAGTTCAGCAGTGAGTTAATACATGTTCTACATTTTTCCCAGCACTTTAAAGCTACAAAATGAAGAGTACACAAGAGAGACATTTAGACTAGTTACCTGGTGAAGTTTTGGTGGTATTCACTCCGTGTGTCTCGAACAATAAAAAAATGAATATCAATAAGACACAGTCAAAACCGGAATCAATAGGACCGATTTTGATGAACCAAACGGCTAAAAGCCAATTCCTGTAAAAGATGCGTTACAGTGTCAGTCCCCTTAAAACAAGAAGTTCTGCAATTTACTGATAAACAAATTTTGTATCGCTAAAATTCTTAAGCAAAAAACTTTCTATTCCAACTGATAACAGCGTGGGAGTCGCCCGCTGATCGTTATTAATCAACTCCCGAAATATGGCTAAATCAGCTATCCACAAATTATTGACAGAAATCCTCTATGGCATCAAGAAACTAATTTAAATCCCATTTATAGACAAACACTAAATAAAGAACATTTTGCTTAATATATCCCCGTCAGCAATGCATTCTTTGCCAAACTTTGCGGTTCTTGAAGGGGAGTCAAGACACAAGTCGAGCGCCAAACAACAGCAATCACCCATGTTCGTGTCAGACATCCTTGAGAAACTTTCCCTTTCACCTCGTTCAGCACATCAGTCTCCACTTTCTGTAAATCACCAGATCTTTACTTCTTTTGGACAACGAAGGTCTTTCCTAAGTTCCTGCTACCATTTGAATCGCAAGCAAGCTTTCAAAGTGAAGAATTTGGTTCCTATGACTATGCACCACTATAACTGTCACTGGTCACGTGCTCTTTATTAAGATTTAGTGCGCATGCTCATGCGAAAAAGGACCGCTGTTGACTGTTTATAACTCTCTCACATACTGTAGAATTCCTATGATTTAGTTCTGTTGTGGTTGATAAATTTACAACTTCATTTGAGGTTTTGAGTGTAAAATGGTTTGGCTCATGATAATGAAGATGGGTGGACTGTGTGTTTCAAACTAAAAGAGACATTGATCACAACATTCAGTATTTTCACATATGGCATTAGTCTGTTGCAATGTATAATTGATAACAAAATTTAACTCTCCAATTTCTTTTTTTTATTTTCTTGACTGTTTTGTACGGCGATAACCACAATGTGCAATGTACTTGATTTATTATTTAATTTCTTTAAACACAGCAATGAATTTATCTACAGTGTGTACTCACAATTTATACAAAAGCACGGGCTCATATATACAACTGTCCATGTGTCGACCTTTTTCTCTTAGATCAGTGTGTGATTAATGTGGTTTATGTTTGTTTGTCATGCCTTCAAGTAATAGACCTTTTTACCGATACGGCGGCTATATTGAATTAATTCGATTTAAGGAATATTATAGGATGCCAGGGGGCAAGAGCACATTTCGTTTGTATTTTCGAGCGCTTTTCGTGACATTTTTCCTTAAAGTTTTCTTAGAATAAGATGTTAATGGGAAAAAAGATCCTTGTGCCTTGATTGGATGAAATAATTCGTGTGGTGTGGCATTTCCGCGAAGAGGACAGACGGGTGGGGGTCTTCGCAGATTATGTCAACACCTGGCTTAAAATCAAGCAGGAATCGGCGGGCTGGCCGGACGAGTGTCACACACCAGACGTCTTTCTGCGCAGGAGGCACTGATACTTCTCTTTCTTCCCTAAGCAAACCTTTTGCACCGTTTCATGGGCCCTTCCTTTGTCCAGCGATTCTACTACGAGTTGTCCACTCACAAATCACATCTTTTTCACTGCTGATAAGAGGTATAAGTTACAGACAAAGTCTGCAATTAAGAAGCAAGGGCTGACATGAAATGACATGCAACCGTTTTACTCAAAAATACAAGGAAATGTATGGAAATCATGCAGAAAAAGTCTGCCAATAAGAAGCTTAAGTGGCCGACAAAGTCTGCAAGTTTACAACCTCCTTTTAATGGGTTTCTCTGTTTCTTTTTTCTCTTTCAGCTCTTGGGGCAAATTCGGCGAAAGGCAAAACAAACCCAAGATGCATGTTATCCAGAGCGCCCATCAGCTTTACTCCATCCTGAGCGACCCCTCCTACCACATCAGTGCTATCAGGATCTGTTCCGAAGACGTCATGGAAGTGGTCACCACCCGAGACGACGAAGAGGTGGAACGAAGCTTGAAGACTAATTTATGTATTGTTATTTTCACACCAGCTCATGCCAGATACTCAAAACATTACAACAGCGAGTGTTGTATTATGTCACGGATTCGGTCATATATAAATGGCGCCCAGGGCAGGTAGAAATTCCCTTAGGTGTGTTTTTGGGAGAATTCACCGACGAAGTAGAAGGTGACCCCATCATAGAATTTGCCAGTGGGGGTGCGAAAAACTATGGGTATGAAACCAGGGGAGGGAAAGTAGAATGTAGAGTTAGGGGATTTTCACTGAATTACAAGAACAAACAAATTTTGAATTTTTATACCCTCCGCGATAACATTTTGAAAGAACTCGATCAGCCTCAATCATCTAGGAGAGAAATGTCCTTAGTGGATGAGCATTTTTTTCACAGAGACCAGACCAACAAACGGATTCGTTTGATTGAAGGTGAAAAGAAATATGGTCTGGTCTTTGACAAACGAGTGATCGACAGGACCACTCGTCAGTCGTATCCTTTTGGATACTTTTGTATTCAAGACGAGGTCGACTTGCTTTTGGAGTTGTTAATAGTTTTTCATAACCAGTATTGTAGATAGGAATAGGTCTACTTGGTGGCGACATTCAAAGTGTTGTAACATTAAATCGACAGGGAGGTTTAATGTAGAAATAAACTAAGTTCACGATACAATCTCTGTGTGAGGTTATTGTTGCGGTTGGGTATAAACAGAGGGATCAAAGGGGTAAGGACGTATTCCAACGTGTAACATGACGGACCTGTTTTTAACCCTGTTGAGCGATGTCACCAGTGACTATGCGAATAATGAAGCCAATCAGTTTAAGGTCAAACAATCCCACAGCTTGTATTTACTTGGATCAGGATGGAAAGTCTCGATTGCCTATGCCATGTTACCCAAAATGTCCCTTATTCAAAGACTTACAAAGTCAATGAGTCAATTTGATAGAACTTTGGTATGAAGCAGAAAAATCAGGTCAATTCGATTTTAGAGCAACGGATTTACGCCGATGGGAGAAAGCAGGGACATGTCTTGATGGGGTGGATTTTTTCAATTCCCTCAAACCCTGGCCAACTTTCAGTCCGACAGTCAATGTGTGATCAAGTTACATTTTAGAGAAGGTTAACACGAGACAGAGACATTGTGTGCACACTCCTTGTTTATTGGAATAAAAAACACACACAGATTACAATTTGAGTTCTCTTGGCTTGCGTGATTTTCTTGACGACTTTCTCGGTCATGGCCTTTTTCTCGGGTAAACGATCAATGGCTTTGATCATGACGTCATCCGCTTTCCATTTATCTTGCAAATTCTTAGCTTTGCTATAAGCAATGTCATGATGTAAAGCAATGTCGTCTAACCTGTTGATGCCTTTATCTTCGCGTTTCAAACGTTTGGCTAATTTGGTGCAAGGGCCAGCAAAATTATAGCCGGGCAGTTTCAAAGGAAAACTTGGGTATTTTTGTGATTTCCGGAGACTTGGGAGGCTATTTAATAGCTGGTGTAATGGGTGTTTGCGGACAAGCAGAGACTGCTTTCCTTTTTATACTTTTCTGTATTTGAGAAATATTCACCATGAATTGTTACAAAGGGCCCACCGGTAAATTATTTTCATCGTCATCCTCTTCTGAATCATCACGCCCTATAGTCTGATACCCCCAGGCTGACGAATTTTCTTGGTCCATTGTCGTAACTGTCGATTCACGGATTTCAAACGGGGTTCTTTCCAGGTATTGGGGGCAGGACTTTCCACCAACAGTTCTTGTTGGGCCGCTGAACCCGCTGCTTTAGTCACACGACTATCATCTAAGAGGTCTGATTTGTATTTATCCCTTAGCCGTAAAAATTGAACAGAGTTTTCCACCGGCGTGCTACTAATACCATCCATGGTCAGCAATGAATGACTGTGTCACAGAAAGCGGAATACTTATACTTTTTTGGTCGGACATCTCATGGGATATTTTTCTTTCATGCGTTGGTGAAGGTTTCTCAACAGGGTGACCAACGTCATCAACCCCTCTAGCACACATAGCAGTCGTTGGAACAGGACTTGTTTCATCTTAATAGCGGTAGCGGGTCTTAGCACATTGAAAAACGTCTTAACTCACTCCAAACACCTGCTCCTAATTGATGAATCATGAGGTGACGTCTTCTTTTTATACTCTGACGGGGACTTGCAATCATGCGAAGCTGTTTCCTGTAGGGTTTTAATTTGGGCACGGTTTTTCTGCCAAGACGAGTCGCCCCACGCAAGGTATTCATGACTAATTCACTCACAGCATTAATTTGATCTGCATTGGCATAGCAAAGTTTTTGTTGACGTTTGTTTTGGTTGGCTTCCTTTAAGACATCTTTTAAAAAGGCCCCTTGTCGTGTCACTCGACCCGTCATTGTGCTTTAGTCCTCCTTTGGGGTCTGCGTTGCCTTTTATACTTCTGTTTGGATAAGGCATGTAAAGCTTTGGTGGTGCCATAATTGGCTGCAGCGCCTAGTCCTCCCATGGCAACCGCTTTCCCTCCAGCCACTAATGCAGGGATCGCTGCTTCTAAGAAGGGAGCAATCCCTCCACGTTGCCTTCCCACGCCCGGTTTGCGCTTTCTAGTGGTCCCATGTCGTCGTTTTTTTTCATAGTGAATTAAGGAATAACAAATGGAACCCCTTTTTATATCCTCGTCAAACGTATGGACCAGTGGCTTGCCGTCTCGTTTGGTTAAATGACTCCATACGCGAAACCGATCATCGGAGGCTGGGTGTAAATCAAACACAAAATATCTCAAGGAGCGAGCGGTCGGTCTCAAAAAGAACTGGAGCACTCGTCGCCATTTGTCTGGGTACACTTGCAGTAACAAGTTACGGATGCCCGTCTTGTCCCGAGGACTTTTGAAGCAACTAGCATAATGAGCATTGCGGTTGATCGTTTTGGCGTATTGGCCGGGAGGAAACAGGTCCTGGGTTAGATACAAGGCAGTAATACCACGATGATAGGAATCTTTGGTAAATAAATCCAACACGCGTTTATCATTGCCAGATTCCTCCATCAGATTATCGAGAATGAGAATCCCATGATGGTGAGGTTTAACCATTTGACTAAGGCTCCTTCAGGAGGAAAACCTTTGTAAAAAACGACCTTTATTCCATTTGGCTAATTTCTGGACGTCCATGAGATCCATCACCCACTGTTGATCGACTTTAAAGGCCATGACGGGTAAGGTAGGGAAATGGCGACGTCGGGGCTTGTGTAACGTGTAACTCAACATGGTTTCTAAGACTTGACGGGCTTTTGATTGTGAGTCCATGAGCTTTGGCAAATTTAGCCACACCTCCCAACGAGCCACGTTGGGAAGGATCGACATAAGCGTTTGACAGTTTTTGCGCCATGATACGTGAACCACCGTGCTAACAAGTAGGACAATGAATACGTCCATGAAGAATAGTGTGTCTTTAAATGGTGAAAAATCCATGGTCCCTGCTTGGGAAAATGACGTTGCAACCAGGTGAGGTAAATAGCGTAACGATCCCAACTGCGATGAGTCTCCATCATATACTCAAATAAGGCAATAGGTGCTCAGCGCTCTTCTGGAATGGGACTGTCTTTTGACAAATGCACATAGTGGATCTATACTTTAAGGTGTTCATGGTAAACAATGATATCTATGAGGAGGTGGCTGTGCTTTATACTTCAAAAAACTCAGGTAGATTAAGGCCCGGGTCTAAGTCATTTATGGTTTTTATGTACAGTTTCCAAAAACAATGGTTAAAGACATCCACGAGGGACGTTATATGGTAAAGTAAACGAAACTCAAAAAAACTTGAAAAAAGAAATTAAAATTATTTGGTCACGTGATCGACCACGCCCTCCATTGTTCAAAAATTGTAACCAACGATTCCCACCACTTGACGAACGAGTAGCTCCAGTTTCTCTGTATCAAAATTTTGTCCCTACAAAGTGTCTACGAAATCAGCTCGGAATGGTTCGAAGCATTACAATTGGCCTGTGCAATATATTGGTGTTCACTGACTAGTGCCAGTCCTCCTCTAACTAAGATTCTCGACAGGAGAAAGACGTTTATTGACCTCTCCTCATTCCGATTATTTTTATGAGAAGACTATCAGTAGCCACTTTTTGGACCTACTAAAGAAAAATGGTTTACTCTCTTTATGGTGGGAATTTCGACTCAAAGAATTTCTCGATAAAACAGGGCCTGGCTGGTCACGTGATGCAGTTATGAACAGTTTTTAAAATGAAATTGGAAGATTTTTTGGTTATGATTGGCCTTAAATTGTTAGTCATGGCATGTCTTGAAAATACTGTACGTTATACCACCCCCCCTTAAAAATTCTGAAAAATGTGTAATGACCCAGGCCTTAATCTACTTGAGAAGTTTTTGGCATACCCTTCCGTTCCAATACATGAAGGACATGGTATGGCCAAAATGGTATCACCGGGTTGTTTTGAATCAAGATATCTTTGACACTTGGGACAGAGCAACTCGTACCGCAATTGAGCATTATCTGTTTGTAATGCAGCTATTTCCCCTTTCATGACCTCAATCTGTTTATCGCGGGTTTGCAAAAGGGCACGGAGTTGTTTCAATTCCACTTCACATTCATGCAAGTCCTGGGTCATTTCTAACAAGCGTCTAGCTGTCATGATTAACTAACAATGAACGCTGTCGGGTAAAACGTGTGGCTTTATAACCCAAACCTTAACCCTACGCTAGTAGAGGATAATTGGGCTTCTGGGACAGGAATACCCTCATACACAAATATAACCCTAACCCTAACCCTAACCCCAAGGGACTAGGGTTTAACCCTAACCTAATTAGCATTTTAACCTAACCCTAACCCTAACCTCATTAGCATTTTAACCCTAACCCTAACCCTAACAAAAGAACAAATAACAATATGGAAGTTTAAAGGGTGTTTTATTCTTAAAAATTAAATACCCCCAGGCTGACGAATTTTCTTGGTCCATTGTCGTAACTGTCGATTCACGGATTTCAAACGGGGTTCTTTCCAGGTATTGGGGGCAGGACTTTCCACCAACAGTTCTTGTTGGGCCGCTGAACCCGCTGCTTTAGTCACACGACTATCATCTAAGAGGTCTGATTTGTATTTATCCCTTAGCCGTAAAAATTGAACAGAGTTTTCCACCGGCGTGCTACTAATACCATCCATGGTCAGCAATGAATGACTGTGTCACAGAAAGCGGAATACTTATACTTTTTTGGTCGGACATCTCATGGGATATTTTTCTTTCATGCGTTGGTGAAGGTTTCTCAACAGGGTGACCAACGTCATCAACCCCTCTAGCACACATAGCAGTCGTTGGAAC